TCTGCTTTTCTAAAGTTGAGAAGTCTGGGAAATCCATGAATATACACTGACACACACCCTGAAATTCTATCTCCTCATAGCATAAATCTATGCTGCCTATGCCACTATGAAATCACTGGTGGAGAGGAATTTGATTCTCTTCTATTTCCATCAATGTACTCATGGCTGCATGAGACCATTGATTCCAATAAATGAGCTCCCCAGGAAGGAACCATAATAGCAAAAGAGTCACATTCTTTTCTAAATCTCTTGGAAATCTAGATTTACCACACTGGGATGGGTATGTGAAGGCACAAATAATTCATCAGGATACTAACTACCATGTTTTCTAAGGGCTTTTCCGGGGGGGGGAATCATCTAGCCCTATTTAATATTTGCTATGAGGACTTCAGCTATGTGAATATTCCTCCAAATGAGAAAGTGAAAAACAATTATATCATTTCCATTACATTCTAGTTTTCTTAATAAAAGAGAAACAAGAGAGTTTAAAATTAATAGTAAGAGTCAGACTGGTACTAGTTCAGTTAATGAGGAGCTCTTATGTACTGTAATTTTTATTTATTTATTTGTTTGATTAATTATTTAGTATATGCATTGAATTTGCCCAGTGTATAATAGCCTTCTGGGTGCACTTATGACTGTAATTACCAAAAACTAGGCCTTACACTGACAACTTATAACCTAATCAGACACATTAAAGTAGAACATTCATGTATGTATTATAAAAGCTCAGTTCTGTCTCTGAGAGGTCCCTAGGGAAATTTCACTTCCTCCAGATGAGATGGTGATTACTAGTTTGGAATCAGGCAAGAGATCAGTCAAACAATCAGCAAATGTTCTTTGAGCACTTACTTAATCTGCAGGTCACTGTGCTAGATGCTATGGGGAAATATAAAGATGCAAGAGGCAGGTAATTATAGCCCTTGCCCTCGAGGAGCTTACAATCAACTTAGAGAAATAAGACAGATATTCATAAAATATAACTAATAATGCAAAGATTCAGAATAAGTTCCAAATGATTAGGATGGATAGTAAGTACAATAAGAGTTTGGAGGGGGGAGAAATTTCCATAAACTGGAGTGAGTGGGCCCTTTTGGAAGGGACAAGATTCCATTTGGCCATTAGATGATGGATAGGATTCAGAGTGGCTAAGATGGAGAAGAGAAGGGGGTATATATTCTAGGCAAGGAAAAAATCAGCTTTACTGGGACAGATTTAGATATGTGTAAAGTATACTCAGCAAGTAGTCCAGTCTGGCTAAAATAGAGGACTTCTGAAGGGTAATAGTGTGAGATAAGGTTCAAAAAAACAAGCTGGGGGAAACCTTGGGAGTTCCTTGAATAACAAACTGGAATTTGGACTTTATTCTTTAGGTGACAAAGAGTCATTTAAGATTTTTGATCTTCAAGAGAGTGGCATAATGAAATCAACATTTAAGGAAGTTAATCTAGCATACAGGGGATCTTAAGAGGAAATTGTGCTGTTAGATGTCTTGATGCAAAATGCTGAAAAAATAGGAGAGGAACAGAAGCTGGGATTTACCTCTTTCTACTTTATACCCTTTGCTAGCACTCCACTTTAGCTGTTGCACTGAGTGAAGCCAGAGAGAATCCTTAAACCTAGCCAACTGTGTTACAAACACATGCCATTGGAAACAAGGAGGAAGGGGGAAAATATCAGTAGAGATGCACTCCACCCCCTTTCAAAAAAGATCTCAAGGACTAAGTCATACAGTGATATGTTTTAGTAGGGCCATTTACTTGTATAAAGGACCGTGTAATTAGAGCCTAACTCTAATTTGGAAATTATAATTGCTATTCCCTATAGGTCCCAAAGAGGTTCTTATAGGGTTGTGTTGAGTAACCCCAAGCTGAGAAACCCCAGAACTATTTTGTATATTATACTATGTTGAAGGTACTGGTAGGGTAGGGAGCAAAACCTTTAGAAAGTTTTTCAAGGAAGGATAAACAGAGACACATTAATCAGAGCTCTAGTCTATACTGCAGAAATAAGAGGTACTTTCTCCTTGCTAGTCCAGTAGAGGAATTGTAGAGAACCAATCTTTTTAACACTAATATTCTTCTAATGATGTAATAGAGCTACACATCATGGAATCCTACAATAACCAAAGATTCTAAATAATTGTTCACCCTAAAGGTAATACATAGTGGGTTCAAATCGGCAGCAATGTGTTACTAATAATAAACAATTCCAAGAAGTGGTTTAAAGATAGCAATCAGAAAGATGTATGATTGGAAAAACAGGTGCACCAACCATGTAACAATATTATAAGGTCCTAGGACCATAGTTTTAGAGCTGGAAGGGCCCAAGTACCACCCCCTCATTTTACAGATGAAGACACTGAGACACAGAGGTTAAGTGACTTGCCCAGTGTCCCACAGTAAGTGTCTGAAGTGAGATTTGAACTCACGTCTTCCTGACTTCAAGTCCAGCAACTTACCTTACAGGGTTGTTGTGAAGATGAAATGGGATAACATATATGAATCACATTTTAAACCTTAAAGTGCTATATAATGTTAGCTCTCATCATCATCATCACTATTATTATTGGTATTATTATTATTATCTTATTATCTACTCCATGCTGCAGAGAGAGAAAAGAGAGAGATAGAGAGACAGAAAGACAGAGAGACAGAGAGAGGAGAGAGAGAGAGAGAGAAGAATTCTTGGGAAGAAATAAGGTACACCCAAAATTCTTCAGCATAAAACAGTTTAAATTTAATAGAGGTAAATTGTTTTTAGAAGAAAGAGGTAGGGTTATTAGAAAAGAGGCTTCTGGGTGGGTATAGTATTAAATAGGGGTACATATAAATTTTTTTCCATAAATTCACCACAGGAAGAAAACATATTGGTTGGGGGGGGCCAATTCATAGCCCACAGGGAGCCTTGGGAGATAAAATATTCTCTAATGTTGTATGAGTCAAAAGTAGCAGAAGCCTTGGACTTTTGGAGTCTATCCCAATAAATACCTGTTTTATCAACTTAATATCTAACAAAGATACACATTGGATAGAGATGTTCCATTAGGTAGTTATTGATGATAAAGGTCAGGCCCCTACCTTGAAGGACTGTATAAATACTGAATGTGCATAAAGGATAGTAGCTGCGTTGAACATAGTTGTTAATTATAAAAGCAGTGGGTAATTTAAATATTGCCCTTGGCAGAAGTCACAGTTTGATTTCTTTCTCTAGCTAAAGCCAACCATGAATGGAAGGCAGAAACCAAGGAAGGTGATGGAGAATGAAAGTGGCAGAGACAGTTCATATAAATAATAACTGGTGAGACTTAGTTCTTTTCTTGAACTTCGTACAAGAACATGAGTAATTGTACACATAAAGAACAAAATCATTATTCTTGAGGAGCAGCTTCCCATTTCAATGCCATATATTTAAAAGAAAAAGCCAAATAGCCTTCTAAAATAATACTCTATAGGTGGGGCACAAAGCTTTGCTGGATCCATCTCTAAGCTAAATACCATTGTCACATTTTCATCATACTCAAGTCCCTCTCTCTCCATGGTTTTCTCAAATTTTCTAGGAGTGACACCCCCACCTCAACTCTCCCCATCGACTTTACCAGTATTACTCTCTCCTCTAGCTTGAGTACATCACTATCAGACCTAGAACTCTCATGTCCTCAAAGTTTCAGAGGAATTAAAATGTTGAGAAACTTTCTAGTGGGGTATATTTCATAAGCGTAAGTAAGACACTTTTATGGAGCTAGCTTGACTTCTTTGGGCTATTCTGAAGTCACTTAGCAATTAATTAGCACAGTGGTCCTTAGTGTAAGACAGCAAGACCTAGATAGGAATTGAAAATTGGAGATAGGCTAGTTCTCACTTCTTTTCTACGTGCATTTTCAACATTGAATGTCATATCTTTCCTACCTATTAACAATATTATTTTTTCTTCTTTGTATGTTTCTCTTCTTTTCCATTCTATTTTCCAAACATGCCTCTGTTCTGTGACCCTCTCTTCTGATTGTGAGTCTGACTCCAACTACCATTTCATGCAACCTGCAAGCCATATTCACTTCTGGTTGCACTTCTGGCATTCCTCTGGACTGCTCCACCTCCTCACCATTGGCTTTGCCCCATTCAGGTACCACTTCCCAACCTCCACCCACCCAGAGGTGTGCTGAAGCCAGCTCAAACTCTTTCAAGAGTTGATTGTTAAAGTTTCAATGTGAGCATTTACATATCAGAAATCAGCAAATCTACAAATCAAGACATGATATGTTGTTTTGTTGATTATAAGACAGTGATGGAGAAAATATTAATAATGAAGATGAAACTTAAAAGTGTGTCTTGTATACTTTTACTCACACACTAGCTATTAAATATTTACTAGTACACTCCTGCCCACAATACCACCCCTAGCTTTCGAGCTATCCCCATTGGATTGTAAGCTCCTTAAGTAGCAAGGACTCCTGTTTTTGCTCATAGTTAGATCCCCAGTGCCTAGCACATAATAATACTCAATAAGTATTATCTATGTACATTAAGTACCTTTGATTTCTGCTGAATGGGAACCCCCTCTATCTCCAGTATGCAGATCACAGCCACAGTGACTGGTACATAGTAAGCAGCTAACAAATGCTTGTTGACTGACTGCCTAACCTGAAGATGAGTATTAGATCACTAGATCCATTAAGTCACAGTCAGCAAATATAGAGTCAGAATTTAAACTCAGTTCTATTCGTCTCCAAGCCTAGGACTGTCCACTACAGCCTTCTTCTTCATACTCTTTCTCTTTTTTTTCTTTTTTTTTATACATTGAGATAAATAATAGGTAGGGAATAGACAAATGGGGAAGGCAGCTGGTCTGTGGTAAGGCCAGGACAAAGCATAGAGAAAGTAAATGGTTGAAGTTTCTGGATCCTTCATGGATGTATTTATGCTACAGACTGGCCCCAAACTCAAGGATACAAATGTTTTGTTTTGTTTTGTTTTCAGCATTGAAGTTATTTTATTAGACTTTTAAAAAGAGAAGAGAGGTACAGATTTGGGGATGGGGTAATAAAGCTCCAGGTTCTTTCCATCATGGATTTCATAGTCCCCCAAGGTCACATGGTCCTTGAAGATTGTGTACCTTTTCTTCAGAACAATCTTGTTCCAACAGGTATCTGCCTGAGCCACAATCAGTTTCTTCAGGTCTTCTTCTGAGTCATCAGTGCTGCACTTCACACGGACCTTCTTGCCCAGGTGGATGTTACACAGAACCTCGATCATGGCTACAGGATGCCCCTACCGCCTAGCCACTGTAGAGAAATCATTTTCTTGAGTCAAAGTCCTGTTGCTGTGTGAAGGGAATATAGCAAGAACAATTTAATTTTTTTTTATAGTTCAGATATTACACAATTTCCTCATCCCACATTTGTCTTCTGAGGTTGACCTTGGTTTTCATCTAATCTTTTACCTTCTGAATCAGTTCCTTGTAATATCCCATCTCTTTGCTTTTTATGGGACTAATATATAATTTCCAATCATTTTAACTTTATGTTTAATGATTTTTTTTAAAATTGCCAGGTGGCTTCCCATAATTATTTCACACACTGTTCTATTTCATTTTAATTCACTTCTTTTTTCTTTCTTTTTTTTTTTTTGTCTTGAGGCTTCTCTAAGTAATACTTGTTTCTGCCTTATGTAATCATAAGGAGGATAGGTTTAGATTAAATCTGTACTGAAACAGTGGTTTTACTCTAGCATCATGAGGGCAATTTCAGCCATTATCTCAGTATCAGAGCTATAACTAGAGTGAGGTGACTGGGACTTTGTCCCTGAGCATTGAAATTTGGAGGACATAAAATGAATGATTTTAAAAGACTATGCAATTTTAGAATTAGTTATTTTTACATGTTATAGCTCTTTCTCCCTGAAGCATAGAAACAACTGAATTTAGCACCTAGTTAGCAAAAAAGATTAGTCAAGCTAAAAAGCTACCAAGATAAGCCACTTTCTTTCCCACCTTCCTTCTTTCTTCTTTTACTCTTCCCAACCCCCACAGTAAAATACCAGGTGAGTTCTTCCTCATTCTGGTGCACCAGGCTTCCCCTCCAAGTGGTAGCCTCCCAAACAGGAGCCTTGAGGTGTACCAAAGTCCCTGTCTCAACTACCAACACCTCTACCATCACCACCATCCCCCCATATACACAGTTTTACATAGAGAGCAGGGACCTATGGCTTCTCTTCCTGCTGAAATGAATTTGTCTTAATTATCTCATGTATTTTTTAACATTGTGGATTACAAAGTTGATTTGAGGGCAAATTTACAAGGGCTTTTCATGGCATCATTTGATGCTACTTGCTAATTGTAGCTCAACTCAACCCATTAAGGAAACTACTGCCTCATTTGCCTAGTGCTAGAAGAGAGATACACTGGGAAAATTTGGTTAAGGATTAGCAAAGAATCAATATGGGTTTTTAATCTTTATCTCAGAAGTCAATACTGCCACTATATCAACTAAGTGATGAATGGATGGACTTGCTTTTTCAGTCATTTCAGTTTGTCCAATTCTCCGTGAGTCCATTTGGGGTTTTCTTGGCAAAAATGCTGGAGTGGTCTGTCATTTCCTTCTTCAGCTCATTTTACAGATGAGGAAACTGAGGCAAATGAGGTTAAGTGATTTGCCCAGGATCACACAGCTAGTAAGTGTCTGAGGTGGGATTTGAATTCGCAAAGATGAGTTTTCCTGGTTCCAAGACCAGTACTCTATCCACTGCTCTAACATATCTGTGCAAACTATTTCCTGAGTTGGTTTTACCAACAGACTTAGCATTTGAATCTGGAAGAAAATTCTCTGCAAATTTGAGTCCGCTATACCCTGAAAGATTTATGATTCACTAAGACAATATTTACAAAGTTTTGCACCACATAAAATCTAGTTATTATTACGTAGGCTACTAGGTGTCATAGGGGATATTGGCTTTAGAGTCAGAAAGCCCTAAGTTTAAATCCAGCCACAATCTAGCTGTATGACCTTGGGCAAGTCACTTAACCTCTCTCAGCCTTGATTTCCTCATCTGTAAAATAGGGATGACAATAGCATTTCACAGGGTTGTTGTGAGGAAGCAAACAAGGCAATATATGCAAAGTGCTTTATAAATCTTGAAATACTATATATTATACGATATATTATTATCCAACCTTTAGGAAAACAATTTTAAATTATTCTAAAAAGCTCACAAAATTATACATACTTTTTGACCCACTGATGCTAATACTAAGTATACATATCCTCCAAAGAGGACAAAGATACATAGATGTGTTTGTGCACTACTGCTTACAAGAGTCCCTTTCTAATTCCCTTAGCAATTAGTGCCAAACTCATTGTGTAATCACTTTATGTTTGTCCAGTATTTACTAATCTATGTTGTCTTCCTTTTGTATTTGCACACACAGTACGTGGCATAGTACCTGGCACATAGATTGTGGTTTTTGCTGTTGCTTTGTTGTTGTTGTTTGTCCTTAGTTCACAAAGAGGACCATGACATCAGGGAGGTGATGCTATGACTTGCAAGTGAATTGGATTTAAGTGAGGGAGGGTTATGCAAAGTCATCAGGCTCACTTTCCTCACTCAGCACATAGAAGGCACTTAGTAAATGCTTATAGATTGATAGAGCTGACTACTGCCTGAGCATTCATGATAAAGCACCCAAACTAAACCACTTCATAATCAACAATAATGAATACTTTCATTGGTCATGTAATCACTCATGCCCTCCCTTCCAAAATAGGCAAGAACATGTCTGTAGCATGTACCTTCCCAGGGTGATGATTCATGATTTCCTAAGTCAGCACTGGCCTCACTCACTTGCCCTGCCCAAGACAATCTCCTACACCCTGGGGGACAATTCTCACCTGGTCCTATGGATAGTTTTATGGTGCTTATGTTTGTAAATTAGAGAGGAACCAGAGATTAAAACATGGGAAGCCATTGGAGATATCTGGTGCATCTCAAGCATCAGAGTTACATAGACATAACAAGAACTGAATAAATGCATGTTGCCTGACTGATTAGTTGACTAACTAGATGTCCAGTGAAAATAAAAGTCACTCACAATGGCTATAAGACAAAACATATTGTAGGTCCCATGACGGGATAGTAGGTAGGCAACTGGCATGCAAACCATAAACAGGAACTAGAGAAGAGTCAAGGACCAGACCAAAAAGCCCATCAATTCATGAAGTGTTTGGGACTGTGGAGCTGAGGGTAGAGAGATGCCCTGAGAATGAAGTTGGAAACTTGCCCCCATCCATTAAGGGAATACTTGGTTTTTAAGAGTAGTGCTAACTCTTGGCTTATAGCAAGAAACCTGGAAAAGCATTAGAGACTCTGGAGCTAGGTTGGGAGTCAAAGTTGTGTGTTCAATCAGAGAAGGAAGCACTTAAGGCCCATCAAAATTTGCACCAGGTGATAAAAATCTGGCACTGAGACTGATTGCAGGTTAGACAGATAATCAAAACACAGAAGGAAAAAGATGTCTTAAGGCAAATATGCTATACTTCCCTTATGTAAATATTGCCTACGTTGATTGTTTTTCTCAGGCAGACCCTTTTTTCCCCTAGTTCAGCGATGTGGGAATAAATAGGAAGAGATAAGACTAGCTAAGACAAGGAAGAGAAACATGGAACACCAGGAAACATGGTTAGAACCACCCCATATTTCAAATGATTTGCTCCTTCACAAAATTCTGACTTTTCCTTTCCACATGCAGGCCCCAACTCCCTTCTCCCCCATCAAAGTATCTGAGCATAAATTACCTATGCCATTTTTCAATATCTACTAATTTTCCAGTTATATTCATGAGTAATGAGTGATTTGAATATACATTTGGTTCTCCTAGCTTTTTACCATGATGGATGAAATGATTTATTTCCCTTTGGTGGATTAAAGGCACACAGATATTTGACAGCCTTGCCTGAATCCAGTTCCATAAACATTCATTGTAAGGCTTATTTAAAAAGCACTAGTGTTTTTCCTCCTCTGCCTAACCATGCTATAAAACCTTGGTCTGTCTTATTTAATGCATCTCCTCTTCTCATTAGCATACCCTGTTCATATAGTAGCATAAACAAAAATTGGAAGAGAGTATTAGAGTCATTTCTTGAGCTTGTATATGTTTTATTTAAATATTACTAATTAATAAGTATTAAGCTATGAATTGTCTATGTTTTGCTTGTGTTAACAACGGTAATCCCTGTTAAATCTCTATGGGTAGTTAAACAGCATATGAGGTAACTACAACTTCGTAAAGAAGATGGGCCTCTTCATAAGGAGATAGACAACTCCAGGTATTATTTGGCAGCCTCATACCCCTGAAGATGAGGTCTTACATCCTCTTTGTTCTGGGAGTAGTGATGAATTTCTAATTCTTAAGACAGTTTGGGGTACATTTTATTTAATGATCTTTGTCAAATCATTTTTATAAAATTAGTGTCTAAGATGGAGTGTTTAAAGACCGAAATCAAGCAAGCTCCAAGACAGGAGTAGCCTAGAATGTAAAAAATCAAAGTGGAAGGACAGTCAGAGAGATGGGAGCAAATGGTTGAATCCAATTCAACTGTCACTTAAGGAACATTATCTATATGCAAGGCCCTGTACTGGGCACTGAGGAAACAAATAGAAGTAACTCAAACCCTGTTCTCAAGGAGTTTGCAAACCAACATAAGAATGAAAAATACATTAATAATTATGATTCAATGAAAAATGAGATGAATGCAAAAGAGAGGTCATTGGTTCATAGATCAGAAGGAACCTTGGAAGTCATTTAGTCCAAACCCCTCATTTTACAGATGAAGATCCTGGGGCCAGAAGAGGTTGAGTCACATGACCAAAGTTATACAGCTAATTTACAGCAAAGTAGAAATTGGAACTTGAGTCCTTTGATACCAAAGCAGGTGATGGGACCTTCTGAAAGTGCTATGAGAAACTCAAGGAGGGTAGAGATCACTTTCACCTGGGAGGACAGGATACAGAACTGACAGGTCAAGGAAGGCTTCATGGAAGATGTAGCACTGGTGCTCAGCCTTGAAAAACAAGAAATCTATCAATATAAGGAGATGGGCTAATGGATTTAAAGACAAAGTCCATTCTAGGCATGGAAAATGGTACAAACCAGAAATGTCAAACTTGTTGCCAACAGGTAGTAAGCACTCCCAAAACTTCTGAGATGCATATTATTGGGAGATGTTTAATAAAATAAATAAAAATGCAACACATCTGGTAAT